CTTCTGGGGAACTAGCACCTGTTTGTATTCCTTAAAGTGAAATGATGGCAATCATCTTTCGGGACTGACCTGAAATGAAGAGAATGCTCATTGCTGATCACTTGATGATTTGGGCATAATTAATGTTCCAAACGGAATACATGGTGTGAACTAGAAGTGGCGGTTTGATGTGGGATCGGTAAATATGTATCCTACTTTTTTTAGGGTATGATGTGATTGCTCAAGCTCAGTCAGGTACTGGCAAGACAGCCACATTTGCTATTTCCATCCTGCAACAGTTGGAGATTGAGTTCAAGGAGACCCAAGCACTAGTATTGGCCCCCACCAGAGAACTGGCTCAACAGGTATTGATAGTGTAGTTCAAAAAAACTGCTTGCGTGTTGCATAGGTTTCAGGTTTCACAACTGTGAAGAATTTAAAACTTAGTGTAAATCGGTCCTATTAGAGCCCTCCTTTTAATTGCCCATGCATGCAGGGAGTTGTTGAAAGTTCAACATAGGAACTGGGTGTGCAGGTATGGTTTGCAAGGTTGTGTAAGAGGTTTGAGAAACCAAAGTGTTCTTTTCAGGGTGGACTAGGTCTGTTCCCATTTTGAAGTTTGAATGCAGTTGTGCAACATGAAAACTGCAGTGACATGTTCTTTGACTGTCTCAGTAGTTTGTGATGCATCTGTTGCATGCTATGTTTTCAAAGCTCACTGCTATATTGGCTTTGAAGTAAAACCTTGCTAATAAAACTAGGCTTTATTAAGGTCAAAATGACAAATTCCAGTACTCGGGGAAAACTTAAGTATCCACGTGTTGTCCTAGATGTAATTGCAGAGATCATTCCACTGTTCCACTATTTACCCCTTCCTACACAATGAAGAGCAATGTAGGAAATGATTGAACTCAGATCTTTTAATTAACATAGCTGGTATCTGGGGCAACAAGATTCCCAGTTTGACAAGGCATAAGGAAGACACCTTAAGGGAATTTTATCAGGAAGCTGTTAGATCAGTCTGCATTTTAAGCTTGGAAGTAGTTAAGTGCTGTGCATGCATAGAAGCTATTTGCAGACCAGATATTTGCCATTGTGCTTTGGAATTTTAGTCACAGCCTATAGTTCTGCTGCATAATAACTAAGGGTATTGGCTTTTAGATCCAAAAGGTAATTCTGGCCCTTGGAGACTATATGGGAGCAACTTGTCATGCCTGCATTGGTGGAACCAATGTTCGGAATGAAATGCAAAAACTGCAGGCTGAAGCACCACACATTGTTGTTGGTACACCAGGAAGAGTGTTTGATATGTTAAACAGAAGATACCTTTGTAAGTATTGTTGATTGAATATAATTTGTTTTTGCTATTACAAATTAAAATTTGCAATCCTATTCTTACCGATCTAGAGCTGATAATATGTATGGCTTTGTCTTTGTCAGCTCCAAAATGGATCAAAATGTTTGTTTTGGATGAGGCAGATGAAATGTTGAGCCGAGGGTTTAAGGATCAAATCTATGAGATTTTCCAAAAATTAAATACGAGTATTCAGGTGAGCTTTAATTTTACTCCCTCTCCTATAGTAGTTGGGACTTTGGTTAATGCAGGTTGCAGTACAATTGAAGTGTTGGTTTTTTCCCTTAAAGCAATTGGTGTAGAACTGTACCACAGTTTCATAGTGAGGCTGGTCTGTTTTTTGAGTGTTGTGAAAGTGTTATTTGTGCAGTAACATAAGCATGGTCTTTTTAAGGTTGTGTTGCTTTCTGCCACAATGCCAACTGATGTGTTGGAAGTGACCAAAAAATTCATGAGAGATCCAATTCGAATTCTGGTGAAAAAGGAAGAATTGACCCTTGAAGGAATCAAACAGTTTTATATTAATGTTGAAAGAGAGGTAATGTACCTAATTACTAGACATTAAGATGTAGCTTTTTTTTTTTAACCTTCTTGTATAAGCACTGTGCTAAAATTACAGAACCTAAGATTGTCTTAGTTTCTGTAGTAATGCTAGCAGAGTACACACAAGAAGAAAAATAACTGCACTAGATTGTAAAGACTGGGGTGGACCTCTTTCTTAATGTCCAGTGTCCTTTGTCTTAAGATTTGGTGCTATATGTATTAGGTCTAACAATGAATTTCTCATGGGAGTTGGAAACTAGATTTTAATAACTGTTAACTTTGAAATATTGTAGGAATGGAAGTTGGATACACTTTGTGACTTGTACGAGACCCTGACGATTACTCAGGCTGTTATTTTTCTTAACACAAGGCGCAAGGTGGACTGGCTCACTGAGAAAATGCACGCCAGGGACTTCACAGTTTCTGCTCTGGTAAGAGGTGTTGTAACCTAGCAGTGGTAATTACAGTGTTGTATTTTCATTAAAGCAGGATTTAGACTACAATATAGCTGTTAAGTGCTGTGTTGTCGTTCCCCCTGCTCAAAATAAAGTTGTTTCTTAACTATACCTGTCTGCTATACTCCTGTAGCAGCCAGGGACGCTTGGTCTCATACACGTCAGTAAAGTTAAATATTGGTTTGACTGGTGATTCTTGAATTAAGGTTTGTTAATTTGCAGCATGGTGACATGGACCAGAAGGAAAGAGATGTTATCATGAGGGAATTTCGATCAGGGTCAAGCCGCGTTCTGATCACTACTGACTTGTTGGTAAGTCTCTTACTGTTCTGTTTAATCTACCAAAAGTTTGTTTTGGGGGAAGGTTTTTTTAATAACCTTTACCAGCTTGGGCTCTTTGGGAGAATAAAGAACAGACCACACTCCACAGTGGGCTATACCACTTAACATAGTTCACTACTATTTTGTGGCCTACATTCCATAGCTGTGTGGGGTTTTTTTTTTGGAGTTGAACACTATATTACTGTATTTCAGGCTCGTGGGATTGATGTGCAACAAGTGTCATTGGTTATAAACTATGATCTACCTACCAATCGTGAAAACTATATTCACAGGTGAGTAGGTGGCATCTTGACTGCATTGGGAAAAGGAATTCATGTATGGCTTTTCTACTGACTGATTTATTTGAAAGGTAACTTCAAATCAGGGAAGTAAAAAGACTTATTAGCAACTTGGTAAGGTGTAACTAAAATTGTACTTGGGAAGATTGGTCATCTTACAGTGGGAAAACAGTTGTCAATGTTGCCCAAATTGTGGACTTAATACATACAAATCTGGTTGTTTAGATCTGTTGGTCTTAGCTTATTTTTCAGTTTTTAGTGAAGTTCCTGTGTCCATGTGCTTTCTCGATGATTCCTCTGTAGTTGGGATTTTCTTGGTGTTGTCTGGTAGCAATTTGAGCAGTCCCTGGTTTAGTTATAGTGGCTTTATCCCTAAGTAAATTGAACTGTACTTTGTTATATGATGTAAAAAAAGACTTTTTAAAAAATACAGGAGTCGATAGCAGCAGTTGATGACGAGATGGCGCTCAGAAACGGCGTTGACGTAATTTAGGACGTGGAATCATAAGCGAAACAGCACACTGTTTGAATAAAGAGCGAGTCGGTATTTATATTTGTTTTTCTTTTGTCATGATTATTTGATATTTTAAGTTGCTCCAGCCAAGGCATTTTGTATGTTAGTCTAGTAGGTGGTTTGTGTTGTCTGGTTTCTATCAGGAAGGTAGAAAGCTGTTTTGGAGGTAAACACGTTTTGAGTAATTTGAGTTACAACGTGTGAAACTGAGCAAAAAAGCAGTGATAAGTTTGGGTTACCATACCAAATACTTGTTTTCCCACTGGAAAAAGTTGTGAGTTTTAGGCAGTAGTTAACCTTGCAGCATTTGTATTTACAGTTTACAGTTCCAGAGGTGCGTCGAAATGGATTACATAACTGTTCTTTTTGTTTTATCCCTGGTGTTTACATCTGTCCCAGGCTGACATCTGCTCTTGGCTGGCCCACTTTGGTATGGGCTTTAATTTCACTACCCCAAACACAATACTGTCATCTGCTTTAAAAGTAGTGCTCAAGACACCTGATAAAATCTCATTTTGCAGCCAGACAAGCCTTGAATCCTTTTGGCACTAACTGCAAAGGAAGATTTTTTTCTCTAGATATTGATTAGCAGCTAGTGCTCCAATTAGAAGCACGAACTATAACCTTGTTAAGTAAACAGCAGCTGATGGTTAACAAGTGGATCATCATGTTCAGTAGTTCATTTGAATTTGAGAAGAAACATTCTAATTGCTGATTTTTTTTTTCTTACACAGAATTGGCAGAGGGGGTCGATTTGGGAGGAAAGGTGTGGCTATAAACTTTGTTACTGAAGAAGACAAGAGGATTCTTCGTGACATTGAGACTTTCTACAATACTACAGTGGAGGAAATGCCAATGAATGTGGCTGACCTTATTTAATTCCTGGGATGAGATAGTTTTGAATGCAGTGCTCGCTGTTGCTGAATAGGCGATCACAACGTGCATTGTGCTTCTTTCTTTGGGAATATTTGAATCTTGTCTCAATGCTCATAACGGATCAGAAATACAGATTTTGATAGCAAAGCGACTTTAGTCGTGAGCTCTTGTGAGGAGAAAGGCATTGGCTTTATCCTCTTTAGAGTTAGACTGTTGGGGTTGGGTATAAAAGATGGGGTCTGTAAAATCTTTCTTTCTTAGAAATTTATTTCCTAGTTCTGTAGAAATGGTTGTATTAGATGTTCTCTATCATTTAATAATATACTTGTGGACTAAAAGATATAAGTGCTGTATAAAATCAGCCAATTATGTTAAACTAGCATATCTGCCTTTATTGTGTTTGTCATTAGCCTGAATAGAAAGGCCTTTAAAATTGATTTTTTTTTTTTTTTTTAGAAAGCATTTGAATGCATTTTGTTTGGTATTGTATTTATTCAATAAAGTATTTAATTAGTGCTAAGTGTGAACTGGACCCTGTTGCTAAGCCCCAGCAAGCAATCATATCCTAGGTAGGGTTAAACCCCCAGTAATTAAAATTGCCATATTGCACATGTCTTAATGAAGTTTGAATGTTAAATAAATTGTATATTCACTTTAAAGGTGTTTTGGTTATTTTATTTGTGTAAGTTTTAAACATCTTACGAACATTTCAGCAATTCTGAGTTAACTGCTGCATCACAGTAGCACAGAGGCTGATCAGTTGTAGATGTTCGTCAGCACCATCCGCTAAGCACTTGTCTACTTCCTACAAGAAAATTAAAGGTTAGTAAAATTTCCCTTGGAGTTCCACATTTTGCTGAAGTGTGCAAACAGGTGCCTACTTACAGCAAGTTTTTCTGTGATGATGGATTTCTGTTTGTCGGAAAGGTTATCGTTTTCTACAACCACATCATGAAGTTGATTTACAAGCTGAGTGGCTGCATGGCCCTCATCTATTAAATTCTGCAACAGGAAAGTACAGCATTTGGGGTGATTCTTTTAAGTTTTCCCTTCCCCATAGTTATGAGTGAAGTGATGACTTACTTTTACCACACCTTCTAGTTTGTCAAAAGAGCCACTCTGACATGCAGCAAATAGTCCATCGATGGTCTCAGCTGGTATTACCTAAAAAGATTCTAAGGTTTGGTTTCTGGGTCTGAACATGCCTGAACCCACTTTTCTCGCAGGCCTGGGTAGGGTAGTTCATTGTATGCAAAAAGACGTCCTGTGGCATGGGATGTAGAGCTGGAAAGCCCCTTTATGGCTTCTATCCTGAACTCCAGACACATGATCCAGAAAGCTAGGGAGCTGAGTTTTCCATATGTCCCTGGCCTTTTACCCTGTGTTGGAGCACCTTAAATTAGTCCAGTCACTATTCTATATCCAGGGAGATGCATTTTGCTTTCCTTTGCTCCTGAGAGCTTCAAGTTTGAGCCCATGATGAAACAAGAATAGCTGATGCGGGCAGTGGGTGAACAGCTAAAAATTGTCCCTACTGGCTGCTTGTCATACCCCAGTGGCTCAAATGAGCCAAGTACTTTAAAAAAGGGACTTTAAAGGAGAGTGCCCCCCGCCCCTTTCCAAACAAAGATGCCACTAATAAGAGACTGCTCTCAGAAGGCCCAAAGTACCCAGAAAATTAAAGGCGACTAATGCCATCAATTTCATTAGGGCACTGAAAGATACCTTTGGGAACTTAAGTTTTAAAAGTAGTAGCAGTAGTAATCCTAATAGAGATGAACCCTGACAAATGATTTCTGTAAGTAGGATATTGCTCCTTTATATATGTATGACCTTTTGGCCAGAAGAGATTTGTCAGAACAGGGACAGTTGTTAAATCTATTTTAATGCCACATCCCTGAAGTGTTGTGATGCTTCCAGGTTGTTCCCTTATTACACGGTTTCTAGCACAGTACTTGGCACATGCTATAACCTAATAACCCCAAGACTCCTATTAAAAATCCCTATTGTGATGTTAAGAAGGTAGGAGGCTATTGGGAGGTTGATTAGGTCCTGAGGGTGAAACCCCCATGAATGGGATTAGTGCCCTTATAAAAGACCTTTCTGCCAGGGGAGGATGCAGTGAGTCTAGTCCACAAACTAGAGTCTAGGCACTAAGAAGTTAGTTCTCACCAGATACTCAATACATATATTTGACCTCAGACTGCCCAGCCTCCAGAATTGTGAAATTCTGTTTATAAGCCACTCAGCCTATGGTATTTTGTTAAAGCTGCCCAAATGGAACAAACCAGCACATATTAAGCATTCTGTATATATTTGACGAAAATTTTCTAAAAGCCACAAAGCCAACTAAAAATTTCAATCTTACCCCAGCAATGTCTGTGATCACCTTCTCTGTGATCTCCTTTCCACCTGTTAATCGAGTAGCACTTTGAAGAAATGTAATAGCTTTTCTTAAGTCTCCTTCTGACACTTTAACAAGATAAGCTATTCCCTAGGAAAAAAAAATTTTTTTTTTTTTTTTTTTTTTTACCAGTGATGGACAGCCAATTATGACTTTTGGCTTTAATAAAGGAAAGGGGAAAAACACTATGTTTTAGCCTAGAGTTAATGGGGAAAAATGTATTTTCATTTTTAGGGGAATATTATCAGTCCTATAAAACGGCAGAATTCATGAAGACAGCATCAGTCCAATAAAAGGATATAGATCTTTCGCCTCTGAAAGAAATTTGCAGAGACAGAGATGTTCCACACTTCGAATCCTATTTTCTATTTAATACATGAAGCAAAAACGATTCAAATTATGGTTAAATTCTGTTAAAATGAATTAGGCCTTTATAGTCTCTTTCTGTACCTGAATTTCATCACCAAATTTCTCCTGAAGTGAAACATTAGCTAGGACATTAAAATCTTGTCATTATGCAGAGATTTTTTTGCAGAATTTGTATCAGGTATATGAAATCTGCCCCAGTTCTGGGTCTCTGAAATATAATAAACTTCTAATAGTAACAAGAATGCTGAAGCTATATAATTCCTCGACATTCCAACTGTCACTCTTTTAGCTTAACTTTGCCTAAAGGTATCAGAAATTAAAGCAACACATTTGATGCTTTCAGGACCTCTTTACATGAATTCATCAAAGGAATTAGTAATTGCAATAATTAGGAATTACCTCATTGCTAATTTTGACATGTTCTTTATCAGCAATGTCTAGTAATCGCTGCTGTTGAATTTTATCTGACAGTGGTTTGAAGCGGAATTTAGAACATCTAGAGGTCAGAGGTTCAATTATTCTGTAAAATATTGGGGAAAAGAAAGTCAGTATCTAAAGAATTTCCCCCCACAGACCTTTTTATCAAGAACAAATCAAGATGTGATAGAGGAGAAATTACTGTAGCCTTGAAACATTTAAAGTTTTTTTCTCCCTAATTGGAGTTATCAAAATAAGGCTGCCTAGCATCTCTCTTCAGGGCAATACACATACCGACTGACATAATTACAGATGAGACAGAATCGGGTGGTTTTAGACTCCTTCTCCATAGTACGTCGTAAAGCTGCCTGAGCAGCCGAGGTCATAGAATCTGCTTCATCCAGAATCACAATCTTAAAAGGTGGACATGGCTTCCCACTGATTCAGAGAAAAAGGAGTTATAATTCACATATCACCACCACAATCTACTTTTAGAATATTCTCATGGTCCCCCAAAAAAACCCCATGCCCACTAGGAGTCACTTCTCCCAACTCTCCCAGCCATAGGCAATCATGGATCTCTACTTTCTCCACAGATGTGCATATTCTAGACATTTCATATAAATGGAATAATATGTTGTCTTTTGTGATTGGCTTCTTTCACTTAGCATGCTTTCAAGGTTCATTCATTTTGTTGCATCATTACTTCATTCCTTTTTATGGCTAAATAATATGGCAAAGGGATATACCACAGTTTATTCAGTCATTCATAAGTTAATGGATATTTGGATTTTTCCATGTTTTGACTATTATAAATAATACTGCTATGAACATTTTTGTACATGTTTTGAACAGACTTTTTTTTTCATTTCTTGTGGGTATATACCTAGGATTGGAATTGCTGGGTCATCTGGTAACTCTATGTTTAACTTTTAAAGGACCCGCCAAAGTACTTTCAAAATGTTTGTACCATTTTACATTATAGTCAGCAAAGTATAAGGGTTCCAATTTCTTAACATTCTTACCAATATGAATTATTTTCTTTTTGATAACAACCATCCAAGTATGTGTAAAGTGGTATCTCATCATGGTTTCCATTTGCTTTTCTCTGTGGCTAATGATGTTGATGAGCATGCTTACTGGCCATTTGTATAGTAGTCCCCCCTTATCCACAGGGAGTACATTCCAAGACCCCGCTGGATGCCTGAAGCCCGGGACAGTACACCAAACGGCATACAAATATATATACCATGTATTTTCCTATTCACACATACCTCCTATATACTTACCTATGAAAAAGTTCAATTTATAAATCAGGCATAGGAAAAGATGAACAATAATGTAATTAATAATGAAATAGAACAATTACAATTACAGTGTAATAAAATTTATGTGAACATGGTCTCAGAATATCTTATGAGACTGTACTAGCCCTTCTTGTGATCATGTGAGATGGTAAAATGCCTATGTGATGAGATGAAGTGATGTCAGGCTACTAATGACCTTCTGAGGATTATGTCAGAAGGTAGATCATTTGTTTCTGTACTTCAGCTGAGTGCAGGCAACTGAAACCACAGAAACAATATATAATGGGGGGGGCGCGGGGGGAGAACTACTGTATCTTCTTTAGTGTAAGGTCTATTCAGTTCCTTTGCCTTTTAAACTGGGTTTTCTTTTTATCATTAAAATGTAAGAGTTCTTTATATATTTTTGATCTAAGTCCCTTATCAAATACAGGATTTATATGCATTGTCAGGCCAAGGTAGATATCAAAAATCACTTTCTACAAATTCTTAAATATGCTCAGATACAAATTTAAATATATGCCAGCTTCCAAAAATTTTATCTTGGTACTTTGCCATCTAAGCAGTATAAGTAGCTGACTAAACATCACTGTTTAACTCAGGGCAGTCCTATTTAAATTATTAATAATACCTCCTCTTTTAGTCTAAAAGTGTCTGAGTTTGGACAAGAACTTATATGGTCACCCTAAGTATGAAATATACACTGAAGCTTAAGATACCTGAAATTTTTTTCAAATAACACAATAACAAAAATCTGGATTTTTTATTATGAGTGTACCACCAAACTATCAAATTTGATTAATACTCCTTAGACAAAACATCAGTTAAAAACTCTTGACAGTAAACAATTTAAAATTAGTTATTATAATAGAAAGGTCACTTGGTGGGTTTAAATAATTTAGATAATTGGGCACCTGGCTGGCTCAGTCAGCAGAGAATATAACTCAATCTTGGAGTTATAAGTTCGAGCCCTACAGGGTGTAGAGATTACTTAAAAAAATAAAATCTTAAAAAGAGATATGATCCAAGGAGTTGGACAGGGGTGCCTGGGTGGCTCAGTCGGTTAAGCTTCCGACTTCAGCTCAGGTCATGATCTCACGGTCCTTGAGTTGGAGCCCCACATTGGGCTTTGTGCTGACAGCTCAGAGCCTGGAGCCTACTTCAGATTCTGTGTCTCCTTCTCTCTCTGCCCCTCCCCCACTTGTGCTCTCTCTCAAAAATAAACATTAAAAAAAATTAAAAAAGAAGGGGCACCTGGGTGGCTCAGTCGGTTAGGCATCCGACTTCAGCTCAGGTCATGATCTCACGGTCCGTGAGTTCCAGCCCCGTGTCGGGCTCTGTGCTGACAGCTCGGAGCCTGGTGCCTGCTTCATATTCTGTGTCTCCCTCTCTCTGACCCTCCCCTTTCATGTTCTGTCTCAAAAATAAACATAAGAAAAATTTTTAAAAAAATTAAAAAAGAAAAAGGAGTTGGACATTTGGCAGAGAAGTATTTTACATGCAATGACATGGGATGAAGAAGGGAAAGTGAGCTTACTTACTCTGAACGACTTCCTGACACAGTTAATTGAGCAAAATTCTTCACTTTTTCTCTAACAACCTGTATTCCACGTTCATCAGATGCATTTAATTCAAGAACTCTCAATCGAAACAACTCAGGCCTATGTCAAAATGAAACAAATATGAAACATCATACAGCATATAAATAACCAAGGTTTAAACTACATTTTAAAAATGGCACATTTTGAAGTAGTTTAAAACCCACCTAGTAAACACTATAGATAGAAGGCACACAATCACTTTTGTATTTTTTCTTTTGCATAGACATAGGTTTTTTTCCATGCAGTTTAAAAAGCAGATGGGAAAAAAAAAAAAGATGGTATCACATAATTTATAACATTTTAAATCAATTTTTCACTTAGGATTATATCATGAACATCTTGCCATGTCATCAGAACCACCGTAAATATCATTAAAAAAATTTTTTTTTAACGTTTATTCATCTTTTGAGACAGAGAATAGAGCGTGAGCTGGGGAGGGGCAGAGAGAGAGGGAGATAGAATTCAAAGCAGGCTCCAGGCTCTGAGCTCTCAGCACAGAGCCTAACGTGGGGCTCGAACTAACTGACCGCAAGATCATGACCTGAGGAAGTCGGACGCTTAAAACTGACTGAGCCACCCAGGCGCCCCATAAATACCATTTTAAAAGCTTTATGATGTTCTATCCTATGACTGTACCATTTGCTTATTGTTGGACATCTAGATAGTTTTAAATATGTTCAATTTTAAATACTGCTGCAATAGAGCATATTTTCGATTATTTCCATAAGGTGGCTTTCTATCAGGGCTATTACTGAATTAATACATGAAGTTTTTCTTAAGTGAGTTTTTAAAAAAATTCTTAAAGGTAGTTCACCAGGGGTGCCTGGGTGACTTAGTCGGTTAAGTGTCCAACTTCAGCTCAGGTCATGATCTCATGGTTTGGTTTGTGAATTTGAGCCCTGCATTGGGCTTCTGCTGTCAGCACAGAAGTGCACTTCAGAACTTCTGTCCCCTGCCCCTCCCCTGCTCACGTGTGCTCGCTCTCAAATTCTCTCTCTCGAAAATAAATATTAAAAAAAAAGTAGCTCACCATAGGACCATCTGAGAAATCAGAAGAAAATTAAAAGAACAATTAAAACACCCTGCCACACCAGTGTTTTGAAAATGGGTTCCCCTTTTTCATTATACACATATTTTTTAATTAAAAAAGAGTTGGGATTTAGTCTTCTTTTTATTTTTCCTAAACAGCATGAGATCCTAGGCATTTTTCTTTGGGCATAAACACACAAAGCTCTGTGTATATATTTTCTATTTTAAAACTACCTATACTATGAAATGTGGAATTCATAATTAAAGTTCTTTTAGTTCTATAAGGACATTATTTTTAAGAGGATATTTTAAAAGTTATATAATTTGGATTGACCTCTCAAAAAACTAATAAAGTACTTAAGTTCATTATGACTACATTGCTAAGGCCGGTTCAGTTTGGACTGGAGTTGTGGAATAATCCAAAAGAACTTTTATAATTTCCTTGAGAAACAAAAGTTGCTGTCAAATAAATAAAATATTAGGTTCACAGCAGCTTCCCCATTTTTCTTCTTTCACATTTCACATAGTTCCTTCACATTAGTTCACATAGAACTAATTATCTCTACATATTTGGTGCTTTCAGAGGCATCTGATTATTTTTACGTGTAGGATTTCAGATGTACCCTTTGACCTTATGCTTGATACAAAAATTGTGGAGAAATCCAAGGGCTGCTCTAAAATGGTTGGCTAAGCCAAGACAGTCAATCCAGAAAGAAGAATCTAAGAAACTGGCTCACAGATTTTCTGGTGTTCCTGGACTCCTACTGCATCAACTACCACATACTGTGCTCACTCAAGATACTTAAGGGCAAGGAGCTGGCCTAGTTACTCCAGAGGCAACGCTGGAAAGGCCCGAGCCAGAAGAAACTCTGGAAGGGGTGGTGTGGGTCAGTAGCATCAGACACAGCAGATTCTATCACACAAGGACATAAATGCGAACACACCATTAAAAGACTGAGGTGAGTATTGGCATGATTGAAGAAAGATAGGATAGGTCCTCTGGGCTCCAAAAATCATAACGAAAAAGTTCAAGTGATGAAAAATCATGACGCTACTGTGTTGTAGTACATTCCAGCATCTGAATAAGGTTCAAAATGAAGATTACAAAAGATGTAGCCAAGCTTATTTATTGGAGGGGAAGAACTTGAAATGGGCCCGCTGAATTAATAAAAAATACAGAAATAAAAACAAAGCCAATAACCATGCAGAGAAACCAAATATAAATTTTTAGAGAAAGAAAAGCAGAGATTTTTGGTGTCAAGGCCTTTTTAAAGAGAGAGATTTGAACTTACCCAAAAAGCTCTCTAGCTGCTGCCAGAATAGTGGATGTTTTTCCAGTTCCAGGTGGCCCATAAAACAAGAGATTAGGGAGCTGTAGAAGTTAAATTTTATTTTTTAAAAACTGTATTCTGGCACAAATAGATGAAAATGATGACTGAAAATGTCTATGGAACAGTGCAATGACTTCCCTAATAGTGCACATATCTGAATACAAATATTTCTTCATATAACCAGTATCACAGTATTAGCAGTTGTAAATCCTGCTTTTTCGTTTTTCAGGTAATACTGTACTTTCTTCCAAAATGTCTAATATCTTAAGCTGAATCCATATTTATGACTGCTCTATTCCCAATATACTTAAGTGAAGCTTTCAAAGCTGGAATTAGGAACTTTTTTTTTTTTTTTTTTAAAGATTACATTTCTTAAGTAATCTCTACACTCAGCGTGGGGCTTAAACTCACAACCAACCCTGAGATCAAGAGTCTCACCCTCCACCAACTGAGCCAGCTAGGCACCCCAAAACTGGAATCTCGGGCTTCTTTCAGTGCCCTATCCCACCCCTTTGCTCAGGATTGGGCAAGATTTTATATTTTATAAACATGTCAGTTGCTTCAAAGAGGAAATGGACCAAAGGAGAACCTGGATTTGGCTAATACTGAGGAAAAAGGAATGAAAAAGACTCATCAGGGCTCTCGATAATGTTCCAAGAGTAGGAGAAAAACAAACAAACAAAAAACCATTTATTAAGTGCAAGGTAGTACTCTATACCATGATTATATACTGTGTAGGGATGCCCAATATATCAGGGAGAATTAATTAGAGGAAGAAAGGATTAAACTAAATCACTAGTTATCTTTTTGTATACCTTAAATCTTGTTAGCTTGGCTCATATCGAGCACACAGTCTGTGGTACAGACTGATAAATCTACAAAAATCTAATGAGCTGTTACAAAACTGCATTCTTCAGTACGTCCTTTCACATACAGAAATCACCGCACATAGGAAACTAGGCAGCACAGTTCATGTGTTTCCACTCTTGTCTAACCCTCGGCCTTCCCATCCATTCTTCACCCAAATCAGATGCCACTCTGCTTGCCACTTAAAAACTATTCACTGACTTCACACTCTACTTAGAAAAACAAAACCAGACAAACAAAAATCAACCTATACCTACAAGGACATCCAAGATCTGCTCACCAACTCTCTCACCTTCTAGGCTCCAACTTACAGTGAATTCTAACAACTAAGCACTTTATGGCCTATGCTTCCCCCATGAGCTAGGTAGGGTCTGTTTTTTTCTGTTTAGCCAACTCTTACTGCATTACAAGTCAGAAGCCTTCCCTGACCACCCAGTCTAAAGTGGAACTCTTGTGTTACTCTCTCATCAGTCTTTGCCCTTAACGCACTTTGTAATTATTTATTTATATACAGTAACTTACAGTTGTTACTTAGTGATTGGGTTTGATTGTAAAATACCGGTCTACCTCACTAGATGGTAAGCGTAAGAAGGTCAAGAACTTTATTTGTTCTCTTCATATCTGTGTTCTCAGCATCTTGTACTGTACTCAACATGTGTCAAATAAATAAACCGATGTACAAATGTATAGACTGAAGACTGCTACTGTCACGTTAGTAACATAGCTTAAGACACAAGCTATGAGTTTCACTACTTAAAAACAAACACCAAAACCTAAGCATTTTAACCACTTTTGGAATCAGGAAAACACTAGCCTCATAGAACAAATTTGGTAGTCTTCCTTCCTCTTCTACTTTTTTGATTAGTTTGAGAAGAACAGGTATTACCTCTTCTTTAAATGTTTAGTTGAATTCACCTATGAAGTCATCTGGTCCTGGACTTTTGTCTGCTGGGAGTTTTGGGATTACCAATTCAACTTCATTACTAGTAACTGGTTTATTCAGATTTTCTATTTCTTCCTGATTCAGTTTTGGAAGATTATATGTTTTTAGAATTTATCTATTTCTTCTAGGTTGTCCAATCTGTTGGTATATACTTTTCCATCATGTTCTCTTATAATTCTTTGTATTTCTGTGGTGTCATTTGGTATCTCTATTCTTTCATTTCTGATTTTGAGTCTTGTCTTTTTCTTGAGGAGTCTGGCTAAAGGTCTATCAATTTTGTTTATCTTTTCAAAGAACCAGCTCTTGGTTTCACTGATCTTTTCTACTGTTTTTGTTTTAGTCTCTATTTTACTTCTTTCCACTCTAATCCTTATTATTGCGTTCCTTCTAGTAGCTCTGGGCTAGTCAACTTGGGTATGTCAATTTTATTAAAAAAATATTCCTGGGCTTCTTCGTCTTTAAGATTGTAACTATTTTTTTAAATGTTTATTTATTTTTGAGAGAGAGTGCATGCGCTCATGCAAAAGAATCTCAAGCAGACTCCGTGCTGTCAGTGCAGAGCCTGACACAAGACTCAATTCTATGAACCATGAGATCATGACCTGAGCAGAAATCAAGAGTTGGATGCTCAACCAACTGAGCCACCCAGGTGCCCCTTTAAGGTCATTACTATTATTTTGATTCATGCATGCTTCAATATTTATAGTAATTCATCCATGTAACTATCACATACAATAACTTAAATTCTTTGAAACATGGCAAAGTTATTAAGCCTTACATTACATAACGGTGATATATATGGTGCGTTCAAGAACTGTATGTGGAATATTAAGGCTTAAAATTGATTTCTGGAGGTGCCTGGGCGGCATAGTCGGTTAAGCAACCGACTCTTGATTTCGGCTCAGGTCACGATCTCACAGTTTCTGAGTCTGAGCTTTACATGGGGCTCTGTGCTAACGGTGTGGATCCTGCTTGTGATTATCTCTCTCCCTCTATCTCTCTGCCCCTCTCCTGCATACTCTTTCTCAAAATAAATACATAAACTGAAAAAAAAAAGTCTGAAAAACATCTATTATAATTCTACTTTAATAACTTTTAATCTAAATGAAGGAGCGAGTACTCACTTCAGCAGCACATACACTAAAGTAAATGAAGGTATGGATTGTTTTTCTTTACTCTATAGAATTTAAAAATTATTTCACCTTGGGACACCTGGGTGGCTCAGTGTTAAGTGTCTGGCTTGAGTTCAGGTCATAATCTCATGGTCCGTGAGTTCGAGCCCCACATTGGGCTTGTGCTGATAGCTCAGTCTGGAGACTGCTTCGAATTCTGTATCTCCCTCTCTTTCCCTTCCCACTTGCACTCTCTCTCAAAAATAAACAAACATAAAAGCATTTATTAAAAAAATATTTCATCTTTAAGTTTTCTAAAACTTGGTCTGAAAACAAACATAAAATATTAAACAAGGGTTTAAAAAAGAAACTTCTTAATTCAGCCTTATAAGACAGATGGTATAAAGTCAAGAACTGGATCATAATCCCACTACATATGCCTAAAGAGTTGAGAATACTACCAATTAAAATATATCTTGTCCTGCATTCTGTGTAGTTATTACTATACAATTAAAATTTTATACACCAGGGGCATCTGAGTGGCTTAGTCAGTTCAGCATCCGACTTCAGCTCAGGCCATGATCTCACAGTGTGCAGGTTCAAGCCCAGAGCCTGGGACCTGCTTTGGATTCTGTGTCTCCCTCTCTCTCTGCCCCTCCCCCACTCACGCTCTGTCTCTCAAAAATGAATAAACATTAAAAAAATTTTTTTTAATTAAAAAGAAACTGTATACACCAAAATTAAAAGGTAAAGACATTTGTGTCAAGATCAAATCAAAACAAAAACTGGCAAAGATTTTAAATAGTTTGAGAAATAGAACTTCTTTCAAAATATGTACTACTCTAGTATAATTCCAGGAAGAGAATAATGGCAGCAAAAGCCAAAAGAACCTCTAATCCAAAGTAGCCAGGCAGAGAGGAAGGAAGCAACTCTTCCTCGGGAAAAAAAGTAAAAACCACATCCCACTTTCATCTGCAACTTTTCCCCTTCTTTTACTGAGTTCTTAAAGCACTTCATAATACAACTTTAAACTGCTAATTCTTCTTACGGAGTTATCTTGCCCCTGAATAACCTAAGATGCAAGTCATTCAAAGGTTTTTTGGGTTTTTTTTGTTTTTTAAGAAAGGCAGACTGCCACATGCAGCACCTCATTTGGATGTGTCTGGAGTTTTGGAAACTTGACTACCCTATATTCTCCTACAAATGGACCTTGAGAGCTTGTTTGGAGATTTCGGCAGGGGAGCGCAGCTACTCGTACACCCTTGACCAAAGAACAGTCCTCCTCTATCGGGGAAGGTTGTCCTCTTCAACCGAGCGTGCAGCTTCAGGAGGGACACACATGGAGCGGTGAGGGAGGAAGGGGACACCCGCCTAGCCAGCCAGATCAGCCAAATCAACCCTGGCCATCAATGGGGTGACAGATATTACAGCCAGATCACCCTCACATCCATAAAGAGTTTTTTTAAATCTCACATATCACAGCAGGAGACACAATGCTATAAGCAGAAATACTCATGTTTTTTATGTTGTAGTTCAAACCAAATCCTAACATTAGGTGAGCAATTAGAGTTTCAAAGAATCTCTAACTCTTCTTCAGAGCACAATTATCTATAATTCTCTTATTTATTTGGCTTGCAGATTTATTCTCTGTCACCCTCCACCAAAATAAAAGCTCATGAGCCAAAGAACCTAGCGTGTCTCGTTCAATGGTCTCCACTTGAGTATTACATAACAATGCCACAGGACAGAATGGGAGATGCTCAATCAATATTTGAACCAATCATCCACTGTACAAATAGTTATCAAGGGCATACTGTATGTACAACTAGTATTTTAGGGGAGCAGGCAATTATAAAAGGAAGGAAGAGGGTAAGTAAATTAAATCTTCAATCTCCCAATGACGTGACACATCATTTGCTACTCACATCAGCTCCTTCTAAAGACTTTTTCAGTACTGCAACCACTTCTTCCTGGAAAGCGACTTCATCCACACATTTTGGGCGACTGGAAAAAAACCCCAGAGATTATTTAGTATAATAGCCACAGTAATGTCTTAAGTGTTCCTTTTGCTAAAATACCAATGATAATTCTTATATATTGGTGATAAAATGGGAAACTTTCATAATTGGAAGTAGGTGGAAGCCCCATTTGTATTTACCTTAAGCTAATATATACTGAAGGAGTGAAATCACTTTTCCTTTTACATGCATTGCTTGCATCTAGAGTACTTACAACAATTAAGTAAAAATATTTTGCTTTATTACACCACAAATGTCCACTGGTTAAAAATTTAAAGTAAACAATGGCCTAGAACATAATGTATTTTGATAAGATCACGCACTTAAGCTGAAAAGAAAGACCTACTTAGCAACCCAGAATAAGCAACTATTTTGGTTAATATAGTTAATACACAGTTAACATAGTTAATTGGTTAATACCAATTTCATCCATCACCTAACTGTGCAGAAAATACATACCTATTCACATGACTGAGGGCTAACAAAATAACAAGTTTAACCAAAATGAAGTATAACAACATACAATTTTCATTTTACATCAGTAGTGATTTTAAGAGAAACTGGAACATTGGGGCGCCTGGGTGGCACAGTCGGTTAAGCGTCCGACTTCAGCCAGGTCACGATCTCGCGGTCCGTGAGTTCGAGCCCCGCGTTGGGCTCTGGGCTGATGGCTCAGAGCCTGGAGCCTGTTTCCGATTCTGTGTCTCCCTCTCTCTCTGCCCCTCCCCCGTTCATGCTCTGTCTCTCTCTGTCCCAAAAATAAAAAATAAAAAAAAAAAACGTTGGAAAAAAAAAAAAATAAAAAAAAAAAAAGAGAAACTGGAACAAAGTTATACTCCTAACCCTAAGATTAGGTACTGTACTTAGTTAGTTGGCTAAAAGCTCTTCCTTGATTTATACATTTCTAATTAATCAGGTCAATGCTGGGTGGGAATTTTATGTCAGATAATGCTTTCTAGGGAGACCAGTGTATGTTATACACCAGGGTTTCATATGCAAATACCTGCAGGGGCCAGGGAGAAAGCAAGAGTAAAGAGGGCAGAGTGTAAGGCAAGAGAAAACAGAAGAACGATGGCGAATTGAAGAACATATGACCTTGCCAGAACGAGAAGCAGTACTCAGGTCTCATGGTGTCAAGTGAGAATCTGCATCTAGTGCTGTCTGATCCCCTGAGAAGCTGAAAACCTAGGTTTCCCCCCCTCCGGTATATTTTTTAAATTAAAAATCTAGATTCGAATGTGAAATCTCCCATTTTAAAAACCATCATTGGTAGCAAATAAAACACGGGAGGATCTTATTTGACCTATAAGTAATCCACAAACTTTTGGTAATAATTGAGGCTATATTATTATAACACCAAGGGTTATAACAACTTGTCATAATATCACTTAGCTGATTTAAATTTAAGCGCCACCTCAAGCGTTTTTGCCAAAATGCATAAGCAAAAACTCAACAATGTCCACCTGTCAGCAATGAAAGGGGGAACAGATTATTTGGATTTAAATGGAACTCCTGACAAGACCTTACGGTCACCTTCTAGAAACTGTTTTCTTCTGCTGTATCTCAATCCCTAAACCACAGACCTGAGTTATACACAAGACCTTAGTTCATCTATAAAGTAATTAAACTAGATCATTCTACAGTAGTTTCAGCTGCAGGGCTCTATGACTTACCTAATTGGGTGATTCTTAAGGACATCTAAACAAAGCAAATCATCCCTCTCCCCGTAAGTTAAAAAAAAAAAAAAAAAAAAAAAAAAAAGTGATCAAAACTGGTTAGAGACGTAATATATTAACTATTTCCACAAAACCACAAGCATTCTTACTATTTTTCCACCCACGGAACAGGTTTGGCTTTCTTGTTCTCTCCACTGCTTCCAGCTGTGGCAGCTACTCGATCCTTCGGTGGTGGTTTAGTACTGACAGATGTGCCTTTTAGAAAAGCCTGCATGGTTACTTCACCCTGACCAGGTGCAAGACAGAAAAGGAAAAGCTCTTTCGAAATCATTATGAGGACATACGGCGTGAAAGCACGCTTAACCTTGTGCAAAATATTCCAATAATTACTTACCAAATAAAGGACATCACCTTATGACCTAGCATCCTCTAAATGTATTGTGCTGAGAACTAAAGGGACCATAAAACTGGCCGAAGTGCTTAGACACTTAGAATTTATTTATACTGAGAGAGTTACAGAACAAAGATAAATTTATGAATGAAAAATTTTGAATTCCACACTTTTTGACAAATATGATGTCATTAATGGCCAAACTATGCATGGGCCTCTATAGTCTCTTCCATTTCTGTCAGGGGCCTAGCTTTAGCTCAGACCCAGGGACGGACTTAGCAGTGAGGAGTTGGGACCACAAATGAGAACTTTCATTTCTTTTCTTGGGCCTAGAGCTCTACTCAAAGATCTGTTTTAGTGGCAGAGCCAACGACTACCGCTGACTCTGAAGAGACTGTTTTGTGGGGAGGGTCGGGTCTGGGAATTTGTTGTTAAAATGGAAACAGTTCTTTTGCTTAGTAACATGCTCATCTGAAGAAATCAAAACAAAGTGGGAAAGCATGAATTGTTCTAAAAAGTCATGCAAAAATCTCACCCAGAAGATAACCACTATTAACATTCAGATATACTTTCTTACAGGCAGCAGAAGGCTGTTTTAGGGATAAGAGAGCATTGTTAGCTTGCCCAAAAATTCTGTTTTTTTCACTGCTCTCGCTCAGGGCCTAGAGCAGTAACTAGTACATGATAGATGCTCCATAGTATTTGGTGACTGAATTACCATTTATGAGACTCAGCTTCCCCTTCTGTAAAAGGAGCTAAGGCCGATTCCATAAGGCAGTTAATAAAAGAATAAAAGGTAAATAAAAGAATTGTGCCAGCGAGGGCTGTTGGCCCTTTAATTCCCTGTTGGTGGGAATTAAATTGGTGCAGACACTATGAAAACCAGTATGGAGTTTCCTCAAAGTATTAGAAAACAGAGGTATCATATGATCCAGCAATTCCACTATTGGGTATTCAAAAAGATCTATGCGCCCCTATGTTCAATGCAGCATTATTTATAACAGCCAAGATATGGAAACAATTCAAGTGTTCATCAGTGGATAAATGGATAAAGATGATGTGATACACACACATGATGTTACTCAGCCATAAACAAGAAAAAAAAATCTTGCCATTTGTGGCAACACGGACAGACCTTGCGGATGTTCTAACCAAAGACAAAAGAAAGCCAAATACTGCATGATTTCACTTACATGAGGAATCAAAACAAAACAAAACAAAACCCAGACTCGGCGAACAGACTGGTGCTTGTCAGAAGGGAGAGGGCAGAATGAATGAAGGGGATTAAGAAGCACAAACTTCCAGTTATAAAATAAATTGAACCACGGGATGTAACCTACAGCACAGGGAATGTAGTCAATAGTTTCTCAAGGTATACAAACGTTTAAGCACTGTGGTACACCTGAAACTAATATCGTATGTCAATTTAATCTTTTTTTTTAAAGAAATACACAGAAAAAGCATACTTCTGTGTACACATACCTCTATGCTTGGCATATGAGTAAACACTCGGTAAAAATGGTTAAAACCTGCATTACTGGATTTTTTAGCGTTACTGGATTATTCCCTCCATCCCTGCCACAGGCTGCAGCAATTACTAAACAGTACTACAAGCCAAAGCAGGGCTCTGAAAGATGCTGTACTGAGCTACCATTCTGCGAACTGGAGCGACGGGGGAAGACATCACAGGGGCATCAAGGGCGCAGGAGGTGAGGAGAGCGAAGGCCACCCTTGCAATTTCTCCGGCCGGTCGCCCGTTATCCCTGGCTCGCCTGCTCCTGGGCACTGCCTGGGCCTCTCAGCCGCTCGTCTCCGGAGCAAGGATGCCGCAGGGTCGTCCCCGGGGCTCCCGGGGATAGGGAAGGGGCGAGGTGGCCGCGAAATTCTAGCTCCGTTCCCCAATGTGAGACCATCAGGCCTCGGAGGCCCGGAGCCGCCAGACCGGGTGACACTTACAGTAGCCGCCGTCAGCACGGTCGCCCGGGTTCCCGCCACGGAACAGCCGGCGAAGGGCAGGGCGGGAATACGCGGGCACTGAGCGCGTCACTTCCGGCTCGCCGCGCGCGCTCCGCGCCCACGGGGCCCTTAACTTCTACCCCGTTTTATTTGCACAGGTGACACGCTTTGGGGGTCGCACAGACTGGGGCAAGAGTGACAAAGAGGTGTAGATTAAGTTCCACGCCGTCCCCGTGCATTCCTCGGACTGGAGGCTGCAGGGCAAGGGAATCACGGCGACCCAGGCGGGAGGAGCCGCGGGCACGGCGGCCCCGGCATGCTCTGCGAACGTGGGAGGGGAGGGGTCTGCGACGGCTCCCAAGAGGGGCCTGACGGGGCGTGGGCCTGCCCAGGGCCTGCGGTCCGCGGAGGGCCTCGGGAGTCCCGTTTTCCTCTACCGCACCGTGGACTTGATCGGTAGTCCTGGGGCGTCTCACTGACGTTTCTGCCTGGACACAATTTGGCCTGCAACCTACTTCACCCCAAGGAAAGAGGGGGATTGGGGAGGGTGGAGTCGGTCCCTGGCCAGAAGAGGGCACCCTGATTATCCTGCCCTGTAACTCCACCTTGGTGGTTGCCTGGCAAACTTTGTGCTTAAAAGGGAGACAGCGGGACGCCTGGGCGGCTCAGTCCGTTAAGCCTCTGGGACTCTCGGTTTCAGCTCAAATCATGATCTCAGTTCGTGAGAACTGTCGAACCCCACATTGGGCTGCAAGCTGAGTGTGTAGCCTGCTTGGGATTTTCTCTTTCCCCTCTCTCTCTGCTCCTCCCCTATTTGAGCGCTCTCTCTCCCTCTCTCTCTCAAAATAAATAAACTTTAAAAAAAATAAAGGGGGAGGGGCGCCTGGGTGGCTCAGTCGGTTAAGCATGTACTTAGATTCAGGTCATGATCTCACCATTCGTGGGTTCGGACCCAGAGCGGGTCTCTATGCTGACAGCTCAGCCTGGAGCCTGCTTCAGTTTCGGTGTGTCCCTCTCTCTCTGCCCCTTCCCCGCTTGCTCTGTCTCTCTCTCTCTCTCAAAAATAAACATTAAAAAGAAAAAAAAAATGAAATAAAGGGAGAGACATCAGAAGTCTGAAGTCGAGGTCTTTGCCCTTTTGAATGCATGTGGCTTATACCTCTATTAGTAACTGGCTGTTGGTGAGAGGGAGCACTTTTCCATGCAGCTGCTGTGATCATCTTCTAATCCCAGAGCCCTGCCCAGAAATCTGGTGGTGCAGATGCTCAATGAAAATCAGAAGATTGATAATAATGTTTAACCCTACCATGACACATGCCCTATGGGCCCTAGGCAAGTCTTTATCTTTACTCATTTCTTAGCTCTGAATTTTTCCTACATCTTACTGAAATCTGACCCCTTTTAAATGCAACCTTTGCTGCAGGGCTTTCCCCTAACTCATAAGGTTGATCTGGGTCTCCTCTAAATGAATGAGTATAAATTTTGTTTGATACAAGCTCAACATGATATTCATTGTTAATTTTACACGTTTATTCATTTGTATTTTTTTTTTTTTAATTTTTTTTCAACGTTTATTTATTTTTGAGACAGAGAGAGACAGAGCATGAACAGGGGAGGGGCAGAGAGATAGGGAGACACAGAATTGGAAACAGGCTCCAGGCTCTGAGCCATCAGCCCAGAGCCTGACGCGGGGCTCGAACTCACAGACCGTGAGATCGTGACCTGGCTGAAGTCAGACGCTTAACCGACTGCGCCACCCAGGCGCCCCTCATTTGTATTTTAACTAGTGCTTACAAAGTGCCTAGACACTTCTAGGTGGTGGGGGTACATCAGGAAACAAGGTAGAAGGTCTTTGCCTTCAAGTAGCTTTACAGCCTAGGAGGGTGACAGTGTGATGTGTGTTAGGAAGACGAAGTATGGGGCTCTGAGTACATATATCCCAAGCCTAACCTAATCAAGGGGCTAACCAGATTAACTATCCTTTATACTACTTTCTAACTCTCACAGGGCCTGGTACACTTCCTGGAGAGTATAAAAAACACACAGGTTACCTCTCTGGTCACTGGTTTACAATGTCAGGACCTATGAAAATGTATACTTAATGTATGTGCATTTTACTGTATGTAAATTATGCCTCTATAATAAAGTTGCTAAAGATCTGTAAAGGTAGGTGGTATTCAGTTGCTACCTGAACAAACACCACAACCACACAAAGGGAGATATACCCCCATTTTATAGATAAGAAAACCAAGGCTTAGACGGATAAGGTTAACAGCAAATAAGCAAGAAGGCCAGAATCCACATCTAGGACTGTCTGACTCCAGAGTTAAGACTTATAATTAGTTGCTGGGCAGGGTCAGGGCTGGCACAGAGATGCCATTATCATAAGTAGAAAAGAGAGACCTGAATGATAGCATGCTTGGGCAACTGGTTTTAAAAACTGTGCCACATTCCTCTGGTATATTCAGCCCCTTAATGGAGTGAAAAACTTGGTGATTAGAGGCTGGGCCAGATTTCAACCTCACTTGCCTTCTTAAGCAACCATTTCATTCCTGAACACAGCTATAGGTAGCATCCTAACCTAGGTATTTCATAATCTTTTTTTTTTTAAGAATAGACGGATTTTTTCAAGTTTATTTATTTATTTATATTTAGAGAGAGTATATTCAGGAGGGGCAGAGAGGGAGGGGGAGAAAGAGAATCCCAAGCAGGCTCTACACTGTCAGTGCAGAGTCCAACGTGGGGCTTGAACCCACCAACTGTGAAATCATGACCTGAGCCAAAACCGAGTCAGACGCTTAACTGACTGAGCCATCCAGGTATCCCTAGCATTTCATAATTTTATGTGGCCACCATGCACTGTCTCTGTCACCAGAACAAGAAAAGTCTTTATATAATTACATACTACTTTGTTTGTAGTATACATG